AGTGGCTGTATCAATTTACATTCCCACCAACAGTGCAAGAGGGTTCCCTTTTCTTCACACCCTCTCCAGCATTTATTGTTTGTAGATTTTTTGATGATGGCCATTCTGACTGGTGTGAGATGATATCTCATTGTAGTTTTGATTTGCATTTCTCTAATGATTAATCATGTTGAGCATCCTTTCATGTGTTTGTTGGCAAACTGTATATCTTCTTTGGAAAATGTCTATTTAGGTCTTCTGCCCATTTTTGGATTGGGTTGTTTGTTTTTTTTGTTATTGAGCTGCATAAGCTGCTTGTAAATTTTGAGGATTAATCCTTTGTCAGTTGCTTCATTTGCAAATATTTTCTCCCATTCTGAGGGTTGTCTTTTGGTCTTGTTTATGGTTTCCTCTGCTGTGCAAAAGCTTTGAAGTTTCTTTAGGTCCCACTTGTTTATTTTTGTTTTTATTTCCATTTTTCTAGGAGGTGGGTCAAAAAGGATCTTGCTGTGATTTATGTCATAGAGTGTTCTGCCTATGTTTTCCTCTAAGAGTTTGATAGCGTCTGGCCTTACAGTTAGGTCTTTAATCCATTTTGAGTTTATTTTTGTGTATGGTGTTAGGGAGTGTTCTAATCTCATTCTTTCATATGTAACTGTCCAGTTTTCCCAGTACCACTTATTGAAGAGTCTGTCTTTTCTCCATTGTATATTCTTGCCTCCTTTATAAAAAATAAGGTGACTATATGTGCGTGGGTTTATCTCTGGGCTTTCTATCCTGTTCCATTGATCTATCTTTCTGTTTTTGTGCCAGTACCATACTGTCTTGATTACTGTAGCTTTGTAGTATAGTCTGAAGTCAGGGAGCCTGATTCCTCCAGCTCCGTTTTTCTTTCTCAAGGTTGCTTTGGTTACTCGGGGTCTTTTGTGTTTCCATACAAATTGTGAAATTTTTTCTAGTTCTGTGAAAAATGCCATTGGTAGTTTGATAGGGATTGCATTGAATCTGTAGATTGCTTTGGATAGTAGAGTCATTTTCACAATGTTGATTCTTCCAATCCAAGAACATGGTATATCTCTCCATCTGTTTGTGTCATCTTTAATTTCTTTCATCAGTGTCTTATAGTTTTCTGCATACAGGTCTTTTAACGCCTTATGTAGGTTTATTCCTAGGTATTTTTTCTTTTTGTTGCAGTGGTAAATGGGAGTGTTTCCTTAATTTCACTTTCAGATTTTTCATCATTACTGAATAGGAATGCAAGAGATTTCTGTGCATTTATTTTGTCTCCTGCTACTTTACCAAATTCATTGATTAGCTCTAGTAGTTTTCTGGTAGCATCTTTAGGATTCTCTATGTATAGTATCATGTCATCTGCAAACAGTGACAGCTTTACGTCTTCATTTCCGATTTGGATTCCTTTTATTTCTTTTTCTTCCCTGATTGCTGTGGCTAAAACTTCCAAAACTATGTTGAATAAGAGTGGTGAGAGTGGACAACTTTGTGTTGTTCCTGATCTTACGGGAAATGGTTTCAGTTTTTCACCATTGAGAATGATGTTGGCTGTGGGTTTGTCATATATGGCCTTTATTATGTGGAGGTAAGTTCCCTCTATGCCTACTTTTTGGATGGTTTTTTATCATAAATGGGTGTTGAATTTTTTCAAAAGCTTTTTCTGCATCTATTGAAATGATCATATGGTTTTTCTCCTTCAATTTGTTAATATGGTTTATCACATTGATTGATTTGTGTATATTGAAGAATCCTTGCATTCCTGGGATAAACCCCACTTGATCATGGTGTGTGATCCGTTTAATGTGCTGTTGGATTCTGTTTACTAGTATTTTGTTGAGGATTTTTACATCTATGTTCATCAGTGATATTGGCCTGTCGTTTTCTTCCTTTGTGACATCGTTGTCTGATTTTGGTGTCATGGTGATGGTGGCCTCGTAGAATGAGTTTGGAAGTGTTTGAGAAGGAGAGGTGTTAGCTCTTCTCTAAATGTTTGAAAGAATTCTCCTGTGAAGCCATCTGGTCCTGGGCTTTTGTTTGTTGGAAGATTTTTAATCACAGTCTCAATTTCAGTGCTTGTGATTGGTCTCTTTATATTTTCTATTTCTTCCTGGTTCAGTCTTGAAACGTTGTGCTTTTCTAAGAATTTTTCCATTCTTCCAGGTTGTCCATTTTATTGGCATATAGTGGCAGGTGGATTCTTAACCACTGCACCACCAGGGAAGTCCCCCACTTTCTTCACCTTTTTTTTTTTTAATTATTTTATTTATTTATTTTGGCTGCATTGGGTCTTCATTGCTGCGTGCGGGCTTTCTGTAGTTGCAGCGAGTGTTGGCTACTCTTCGTTGCGGTGCACAGGCTTCTCATTGTGGTGGCCTCCCTTTGTTGCGGAGCATGGGCTCTAGGCACGTGGGCTTCAGTAGTTGTGGCATGCAGGCTCAGTAGTTGTGGCGCACAGGCTTAGCTGCTCTGTGGCATGTGGGATCCTCCTAGACCAGGGCTCGAACCCATGTCCCCTGCATTGGCAGGCGGATTCTTAACCACTGTGCCACCAGGGAAGTCCCTTCTTCACCTTTTATTTCCTTTTTATTCACCTGTTTCTCAGACCACGTGACCTTCTAGACCTTCTATTATTCTGCTTATTTTTTCTCTAGAAAGGCTCCAGTTTGAGTAGCTGTTAGAGCATATTGAAACTATTTCTTCCCTTTTTCTGGGCACTGTTGTTTTATTAATACAGCCAAAGATTGCCTTTGTTTTTCTGGCAGTTACATCACACCAATGATTCACATTGATTTATTTTTTAAATGTAGTTTTTTCCTCTTCTTTTTTCTTTTACATGAATTTTATACTTGTTTTCTCCATCTTGTGCTCTCCAGCGATGTTGTTGTTTTTGTTTTAACCCAAATTCCAGGCTTTACATTTTTTTCCCATTGAATATTATGATGGTTTTGGCCCATCTTTTCATTCTGTTGAAATCTTGCTGTTTTTGCTTCTGTCCCAGTTTGGGATCATTTCCAAATTCAATAAGCCTAGTTTCTGTCTTAATGCAAATCAGTAATTTTAAAAAGTCATATTCATTCATATTCTAGAGCCCTACCCATAATACGAAAAATCTTTCTTTATTGATATTAACTTTTTTGCTGATTGCTCCGGCAGTCAGAGGCATCGGTGCTTAGGCCAGGTGTTTTCATCATGTCTAAAAGCATTTTCCGACAGACTTTTGTCACCTACCTTTTAGAAATCCGGATATACTGTGGCATTCCTCCCACCTGCCAGTCTGATAACCTGATCTGAAGATCCTGAGATGAGCTCGGTTTGGCTTTAGAGCATCCAAGTTGACGTAAGCTCCGTGCAGTCTTTGCTAAGTGCCTACAGATCTCACGTCACTTGATCCTCAGCGTATTCATGCAAAGTAAGTACTGCTCTCCCTGTTTGCAGATGAAGTCATTGGGGCACCAAGACAATGCGCTGTATGATGACCACTCTGTACTGAGTGCTCACTGTGTGCACACGTCATTTGATGTTCAAAAAAAAAAACGCCTGAGCTAGGTAGTATCACCCCCTTTTACAAATGAGGAAACAGCCTCAAAGAGGGGCATACGTACTGTGGAAATGTTCAAAGAACAGGGTCCCAGAAAGCCCTGAGCATGCCACTTCAGCAACCTGAGACCCAGGACCTTTATAGGTTTTGGCCAGCTGGCAGGTTGCCGGGCTCTGGGGATTCCTCAGCTGCTGTATCCACCAGGCCTCCCCAGCCAAGTTTCCTTCTGGCAAGAGCATCTGTTTTCCAGTTTACATGGGAGCCTCCGGACTTTGCTCTGAAATGCCCGTCTGTTGAAAACCAAGGCTTCATTTGCCAGGTGGGGCTGGGGTGGCTAGAAATGACCTGCCACCTTAGTGTGTAATTTAGAAAAGGCACCTGCCCCACAGCCTCAGAATCAAAGAGCAGGGCAGAATCCCACGAGCACCATCATTCTGCCGTCTCCCTTCCCCGGCTCACTGCAGGGTGGGAGCCCTGCCAGGGAACTGTCATAAAATGCTGGAAAGGGATGATGGAAAGCCTGGCCGAGAATGAAGTCTTTTTTCCCCTGTTCACTCTGCTTTGCTGCTTTCTCAGCTTCTTATTTTGCCTTTGATCTTCTAGGTTTTCTCCCTTTTTAAAATTCAGTGTAACTCATTTATTGAATGTATATTATGGGCCGGGTGCTCTATGGCCTGCTGAGCACAAAAGATGAAGAAGACAAAACCTCTGCCTTTATGAGCTCATGTTATAAAGATTACATGTAATCCTGGGGAGGCATACAAAAGGCTCTTTTTCCCTCTGAAGGTATTTTAGTAAAAACAAAGTTGTTCATAACTGCAAGCGAGGTAGGCAGTGAGGAGCCATTAAAAGATTTGGGCTAGGAGAATGGCCATGGTCAGATCCGCAGATTACATGAATCACTCATGTGGTGAAGAGTAGAAAGCAGAGAGAAAGGCAATACAACAACTATACTTCTCTTGTTTGCAGACCACCTGGCCTCCTGGGTTGGCTCTGCCCAAGCCAGAGTCCTGTGCTGGATGGGTCATTGCTCTGACTCAGAGGGAAGCTCCCCTGTCCTCTATGACTTGTGCTGGCCCAAGGAGGGATAGGTAGGCAGAGGCCCTTTGCCTTCGCAAGGAATTCTCCACGGCTCCTACATGGCAGAACTCCGAGAGATACAATTCCCATCATAGCTTACGTGAGTGGAGCCCCCTAAAATTCTGCAGGCACAACCGGCAACCACCAAACACTGTCCTGGGGCAGGCCAGGAACACTGCATACAGCCTGTGGCTTCTACACACCATGATCTCTCTCTCTCTCTTCCCTACCCCTCTCTCTTCCTTCACTGCCTCTCCCTCTCTCCTGGTTCCAGGAGACCTCCATGCTTAAAAGCAGAGAGCAGCACACTGGCACAGATTACGTGCTATCCTGTGGTGTGCTTTTTCAGGGCATTCACATGCCTTCCCTGCCTTTTCATAGATGTCTGATGTCCCTTTAATAAGTTCTGCCTTCAGTGATGAGTCTTTACACATGAATACTTCTGGTAGAGGCAATGCATTGCCTTAAATCTATACTAGGGAATAAATAACTGATAACAGATTTTGCTACGGAAGCAGCCGTGGGAAAACACTGCAAAGTCAAAAGGACGCATTATGGGACAATGCCAGAGAGGAGAATGTGGAGAAAGGAAAGGCCTGGTCCGTGCTTTACCACCTAGCCTAGAAATGAGGTGTAAGGACTCATTCTTGATTATTAAAGATGCACAGAAGCTGGTTCAGTAAAGACTGGGAGACAGCACTCCAGGCAGAAGCCTAGAGATGGTAAAGCTGTGGTGAGTTACTGGGAAATGCAAGCAAAGCTGGAGCACGGGGGTTACAATAGACAGAAGAGAAGGGGACGTAGCATGGAGGTCCAGAGGTGAGAATGGTGGGCAGATCACCCCAGGCCTGTGTACTGTGCTGGGAGTTTGGATTTTGAGCCAAAGGCTGTGGGAGGGAGACCCCAAAATTGCTGTAAGCAAGGGAGTGAAATAATAAAACTGGAGCTCTGGTAGATGGTCCTGGCAAGTAGAATGGGTTGGAGGGTCAGACTAAAGTAGGGAGACCTGTTTGGAGGCTGTTGTTGAAATCCAGGTATGAGATGGGAAGGCTCTGATGAAGGTAGTGGCATAGAGAGAGAGGGGTGGCTAGGAGATTCAGAAAGAGGTAGAAATAAGAGGACTCGGTGACTCTCTAGATATGGGGGACAGAGTAGGGTGAAAGTATTAAGAACTCTTGGTTGTAAGTAATAAAGCAATTTTATACAGATTAATCAAAGAAAAGGGGTGAGGAAGGGGACTTTATTATAAGGATATAGGATTGTCTCACAGAACCCAAGGGCTCCAGTGTCACTGGGGTCATTAAGGACTTCTCCACACAAAAGACATAAGGTGTCCAGGTCATAGTTACATGAAGAGAGTGTGAGGCTTTCTCCTTCTCAGGCCCAACTCCAAATGCCCTGGGAAGGGACTCTGGTGCAACATGCATCAGGTGCCCAGTCCTGAACTGATCACCTAAGGTGTGTGTGCAGGGGGTCAGGTCACTGTGTAGAAGTGGGAAGAAGGGCAGGTCCCAGGGAGGGACTAATAGACCAGGCAAATAGACAGGTACCCACTGTATTCTAGCCCATGGCTGGCTGGCTCTCTGTCTCCCCTCTGCTTCCAAGACGCACTTACTTAACATAAATTAATCATCTTAGAGAAAAGAAAAATGTATCCCCAGAGGAGACAAGCCAAAGTAGTATCTAGGAATGACAACTCTTCTATGTGTCCACATCTCCAGGTGATACCTTTTCCAGCATGGCTTGAATCTAGTCCAGATGTGACTTCTCACCATCCTACAGCCCCCAGATTCAATGATAAATTTAAGCTGGTATATGTGTGCACAGTAGCTCTCGGCTCAGTGTAGACATTTCACTTGGTAGATTAGCCGCTGAAAATGGTAATCCGTACAGTTGCTTTTGAGGATACTCCCTTCTGTTCACTGGGGTGCATGAACGTCATTTAATTTTTTTTTTTTTTTTTTTTGCGGTACGCGGGCCTCTCACTGCTGCGGCCTCTTCCGTTGCGGAGCACAGGCTCTGGACGCGCAGGCCCAGCGGCCATGGCTCACGGACCCAGCCGCTCCGCGGCATGTGGGATCCTCCCGGACCGGGGCACGAACCCGTGTCCCCTGCATCGGCAGGCGGACTCTCAACCACTGCACCACCAGGGAAGCCCGAACGTTATTTAATTTTAGCCATGTCAGGCAGCCTGGAGCCGTGCAGGAGCCTGAGCTTCAGGTCAGACAGACGGTCTGTGGAATCCAGGATTTACCACACTTACTGTGGACTTTGGGAAAGTCACTTCACCTCTGTGAGCCTCGGTCTCCTCATTCTAACCTGGGAGTCACGTAAGCATCCTCTACTGCTTACTATGCACTCACCACGTGTTCCTTGTTTGACCCGGGCAGGAATGAACTCCAGCCCCAATTCTAAGGCTAAAAATCATGGGGACTATCAAGGTCACAGAAGGTTTACTGAAAGGGTAAGTCTTAGATCTGGCATCGAGAGGAAAGCCAGACACTGACACAAAGGTGAAGGTTTGCTTGTAAGCAGGAGAGATGATTCTAGTCTGAGATTTGTCGGGGCTTTAGAACCACAGACCTGGGCTCAAATCTTTTTTTTTTTTTTTGTACAGAATGTTCACAGCAGCTTTATTTACAATAGCTGAAGACTGAAAATGACTCATATTTCATCAACAAGAAACTTCCTGGTGGCGCAGTGGTTAAGAATCTGCCTGCCAATGCAGGGGACAGGGGTTTGAGCCCTGGTCTGGGAAGATCCCACATGCCCCGGAGCAACTAAGCCCGTGCACCACAACTACTGAGCCTGTGCTCTAGAGCCCAAGAGCCGCAACTACTGAACCTGCGTGCCACAACTACTGAAGCCTACGCACCTAGAGCCTGTGCTCTGCACCAAGAAGCCTGCGCACCACAACAAAGAGTAGCCCTTACTCGCCACAGCTAGAGAAAGCCCACGTGCGGCAATGAAGACTCAGTGCAGCCAAAAATAAATTAATTAATTTAAAAAAATAAAGGATATGGGTTTAAAAAAAGAAAAGAAAAGAAAAGAAAATGGATAGACACACTGTGGTACATCCATACAGCGTAATACCACTCTGCTGAGTAGTATACAAATTCTGTGAAACATGCTACCCATCCAGGTACCAACATGGATAAACCTCAAAAACTTTATGCTGAGCTAAAGAAACCAAACACAGCAAACAGTACATGCTGTCGGGTTCCACTCATATAAAGTTCTAAAACAGACCAAAGTAACATGGTAGAAATCAGAACAGTGGTTGCCCCTGAGGGTGGAAGGTATTGACTAGGAAGGGGCATGAGGGAACTTTCTGAGATGTTGGAAATATTCTGCTGGGCTCAAATCTTAATCCTGCCACCTATCTGGCGGGTGATCTCGGGCAAGTTTTTGTCTTCTGAGCCTTAGTTTTCTAACACTGCTAGATCGTTGTGGAGATTACAGATGTAAAAATAGGTCTGACTCACAGCTTGCCACATTCACAAAGATTTGTTGAATGTCGAATGAATGATAAAATAATAACCATTTATTAAAAAGGGATATTATTACTCCTGTCTCTGACTCACTATGTGAACTTAGAACTCTCTCTGTGCCTCAGTTTACTTCTCTGAAAAAGTAAACTATCGTTTTCGATTCTTTGTTCCTTCCATTTGGTGATTGTGACCTACGTAAACAAATTTTTCCCTTTTCTGGGTTTGCTTCATTCCAGGGACTAAACTTTAACAAGGTAACCTTCTAAAGTCTGAGCAATTCCTGAGGTGTTTGGAGCCAGCTGCCAGCCCCTTGCTTTTGTTGGCAGGGCAGCCCAGGCATATCTGGCAGCTGCAGCTGCCCAGGGAGATGCTACCTCCGATGGGAAATAGGGATGGGGGCGGAGGTGGGTAGGGCAGGGGGCTTGTCTGGGGGGACATACAGCATCACCCAGAGCAAGGTGGTGAGCAAAGTAAGACTGTCACAAGCATCCCTGGCCTGACACTGAGTTCTGAGTGAAAACCAAGGGACACCTCCCTCCGACCGGAGGAAACCCAGCTATGCGCTCTGAAAGCCAACACTCCCATGCAAAGAGAGAGGCACCTAAGATAGCAGCATCACGACTGAGTCAGGGTGGTACCACCCCAGAGCCCCAACTCCTGCCGACATTCTTTCTCCCCCTGCCTCTAAAACACTGCTCTCTTTTGAAAACCCAATCCAAGTTCGTTCCAGTTAATCTTGGGATCTTCCCTCCTGCCCGCCTCATTCTCAACCTTCCTTCATCTCGTTGATACCGCTCTGTTTTCCTCTTACTCCTCCTTCCTCCCTTCTTGCAAGGAAAAACCCATTCAGAGCTCTGTTATCGGAAAGTGATAAGAGTGGTTCCTGAACAACCACTGAAGTTTTCCATTCCTTCACAGAAGATTTTCAGTGTCTGAGCGTCACTGCTTTTAGACCTAGAATTGTATGTCCAGTAACACACTACCTTTGTGTAACTCCAGGGGAACCATAAAGGGTAAATGGTGTCCTCTGGGGTGAAAGACAGTTTGAGCACCTAATATGGCCAGGTGCAAGCATCTCATTTCATTACCACAATATCCTGCAGTGGAGGTGTTATTACCCCCAGGCTGCAGGTGAGGAAATTGAAGCAGAGAGATTGATTAAACGTGCCAGAGGACAAAACTACACAGCTTATAAGTGGTAAGCTAGCTCTGATCTCAGGTCTGTCTGATTCCAGGCTCATGCTGTTCATCACACCCCATCCTACAACATTTAACATTTTTTTTTTTTTTTTTGCGGTACGCGGGCCTCTCACTGTCGTGGCCTCTCCCGTTGCGAAGCACAGGCTCCGGACGCGCAGGCTCAGCGGCCATGGCCCACGGGCGCAGCCGCTCCGTGGCATGTGGGATCCTCCTGGACCGGGGCACGAACCCACGTCCCCTGCATCGGCAGGCGGACTCTCAACCACTGCGCCACCAGGGAAGCCCAACGTTTAACTTTTAAAACCCAAATTCATCTCCTCACCCACGTGTCATCTCCCCTTCTAGAATTCCATACTTAAGGTTCTCCAACCTCTTAGGGGCAAAGTGGCGCATCTGTGTAAGAACAACTGACTGCAGAAGCAGTGGGCAGTGAGATGTCCCATCTGGGAGACCTGGCTTCTAGTCCCAATGCTGCCACTCCAGCTGTGTGTGTGAACTTGGGAAGTCATGGGCTTTAGTTTGGTCTATTTTCCAAGAGAATTGGTTGGACGGAGCAATTTCCAAGGTGGTCCCTTTCAGCCCTAACATTCTGAGTTCTTTGGTCCAAGCAGCTTGATTATGATACTTCTTTACTGTATTCTGAACGGTTGGCTTGAATGTAGCTACCCACAGAAAAATAGTTGTTTTGTATGTTTCTGTAAGGCCGTCAGTCACTCTAGAAAGTGTTGAATAGTTGAGTTGTGAGAAGGGTAGACATCCCATGTTTTTCATGACACATTCCACAACATGTGTGCATTCTGGGTTTCCTCAAATTGTAGCATGGTGATGGCATAGTCATGGTGTGCAGTCTGTATCTGAAGACAGGTGGGAGAGGAGGGAGGAACATCAGGGCTGCCCCAGGGTGTGCTGCTGGGAATTTGGCTGGTCTGGTCAGAAGTGGTGGGTCACTCCCTGTGGAGCATGGGTCCCGGCCTGGGCAGCAGGAGAAACAGTCTGGTTCCAGATCGGCTCTCTCTGGGATGGGGACAAGCTAAGCGGTGATAGTGATAGCAATCGTGGGCAAAGCCCATTAACAATTCCCAGGAAATAAAAGTAGAATCTGAGTAATAAGATGAAGTCTACCTTTTTTTATCCTTTTCCTTTACCTTTGTGCTTAGTCTAGTTTCACTTGCTCATAGGGTACCACGTGCAGAGGCCTTGCGCCCGGCACTTCAGACCAGAGTTCCTAGTGGGAAATGGCTGCACCCTGCACTTCAGCTCGGGGACCCTGTGCACAACACCTCAGTTCAAGATGGTGACGGCAGGCCGTGTGCAGAGATGCTGTGCCTGACGCCGCGATCTGGAGCTATGAGCAGCGCGGCTGTGCCTGACTGGCGAGAACTCCACCCCTCTCCCCTCCCTACTGATGAGAACCCTACAAAGCAGCCCCGCCAAAGGCCTTTTGGGGAGAGTATGTACTCTAGCGCATGAGCTTGCCCCTCTCCATTCTTTGACCAAAGACTAAAGCTTTCCTTTCCTCCTGAACTGAACTCAATCTCATTCTATTGGCTTGAACGACACAAGGTAGGTACTTGACTGGTGACTTGACCTCTTCCGGTCGGCACTAGTTTCTCTGGGGGGTGCTAGTGGGCTGAGGGGCCCTGTGAGCCGCTGGTGAGAACAGGAAACACCCACTGCCTCTCCAGGAGGACCTCTCCTCCCCCTCTGCTTGTGAGGCGAAACTTGGGTGATTCTTTGCTGACCAAGGTTCCACGGGCTCTCCTCCTGGTATCAGCACAGAATACTAGCTGCCCCAGCGGTCTACCCTGTGGGAATTCCTATTGCTTTTAGCTCTCGCCCAGTGGGAAGGCTAAAAACTCCTTTTCGGCTGAAAGGGAGAAAGAGAAGACCCCTGCCTCAGGCAGCTGTGCTACTCCCTAAGGGACCAAGGTGGTCAGGAACTAACGTGGCTAAACTGCTCTGGCCCAGAGACAGTTCTGTGGGATATTCTGACAGGAGGGACTAACTCTCTCAAGCACACACCCTTATAAATTCAAGGGGGACCCCCAGTTATATCAGAGTCCACACCATTTGGACACTGCCTATTTAGGTCCCTTGAGGAGTCTATTAACAGTCCAAATTTCCCAAACCAGAAATGCAGATCACTCCAACTGCCTCCTCGGTAGCTGGGAAGAGTCATAGTAAGGGGTTGAGGGAAAATCCAGAGGGGTTCCTGAATCTGATTAGGGAAGCTTTCAGACCCATGACCCCACATGGGCTGACATCCAGCCTCAATGTACTCCTAACCGGGGAAGAAAAGGCCATGGTCTTTTCAAAAGCCCCAAAGGAAGCAGACAAAGAGAACAAAAACAACGCAGGTCATGCAGGGAATCAAAGGGCTCCAGGTAACAAACCTAACTGGGACCAAAAATATAATGGAGAATGGGGTGGAGGACAGAGGCTGGTTCATTATAAAAATACGGTCCTAAAGGGAACCCAGGCTAAGTGGGCTGGGGAGCCCCATGAGCCGCTCACAAGACTAGGAACCCCATTATTGGGAAGCCCTTGAGCTGCTGGCAAGAAAAGGAAACACCCACTACCCTCACCTACCTGTCAGTTAGATAAAATAAAGGAAATCAATTGGTAGCCATCAGAAAACCCTCCAGCATTCCTAGAGTGCCTCTGAATCTATATCACCACTGACCCTGAGTCACTGGAAGGGAATGCAGTCCAGAGGTCATATTTCATTTCCCAAAGTTCCCCCCAACATTAGGCGTGAACTTTGGAAACTGGAAACAGAGTCAGATACCCCTACCTCTGGCCTGGTCGAGGTTGCCTACTGGGTGCTTAATAACCGAGGTATAGAGGAGGAAAAGCCAGAGGATAAAAAGGCCCAGAGGCAAGCCTACCTACTGACTGTTGCCCTCCAATGTCAACGGGTCACGGGAATCTGGACTAAGTGCCCACGGAGACTCTTGATTCTGGTGAGTGACCCCCAGCCCCCAAGGAGGAATAGCAAGCCAAGGAGACTAGGACCCAATCAGTGCACCACATGTAAACAAGAGGGTCACTGCGAGGGAGAATGCCCTCACTGCCCCT